AGGATGTGTGTGCTTTGTGTTTTTTAAAGTAGTAGATTAAGTTAAAGACAAATGGCTTATTAGTATACTGTACTAGATTGCTATAATAATAAAATAAAAAAAAATAAAAAAAAAAACATTCATTTGCAGGAGAGTAAATATGGTTATTTATATTTGCTTGTAAATATATGGGTATTTGTTTAAATGCTTGGTGAATATGAATATTTTATTTTATAAAAGTATACAAAGTGCATATAAAGATATTTGCACCTTGTGAGTTTGATAATGGTGTATTCGAGTATTCGAGTTATGACTACACATAATTATTCGCTTTTAGAATATTCGAATATTCGAATGCTCAAATTATTCGAGTTTGATTCCGAGCCCTAAAATATACGGTAAAACGAGGATATTAGGATAAAGAGCTATAGAGACAGGTTACACTTGACACACTAAATGGATATATACGGTAAGTACATGTATATATACGGTAATGTATATATATATATATAGTGTAAGCCATCGCGCGTAGATTAAAAAAACATATTCTGATCTAATCCAAGACTAAAAAAATTAAACTAAATTGAGAAGGTTTACTCATAAAGGAATCAAAGGGTATATGAAGGGAAAAATATAATTTCGATGCGTGGTAAACACAATTAATCATTGAAAATAAGCCCTAATAAATTCAATTATTTTGTTATTATTTCAACTATAAGCTGAAGAGAGATTCGTATCGTCTTAAAATCAAGAATGCTTTGCGTGATAGAAAATATGAAGACGGAACCCATGTTTTCTGAAATAACTGAGGTAAAATCAAATCATTTTTCAATTAAATTCAAAACGTATTTATTATATATTATTACAAAACAATAATAATGATTATCATTTTATGTTAAATATAAAAGATTACAAAATAGATATCTAAATATTTATTATTTGTTGTTACAAAATAAAATAATAAATAATAGAACATATTATTGCATTAAAAGTTGTTAATAATAGTTGTCACTTTATTTGCACTTAATATTGAGCGTTTTTCATAAATTGACCCTGGCTTCTTTAAAAAATATCCGCTCAACATCTGGTTTAACAATTGTCTCCGATGAAAATCACTAAACAAGTAGGTAGTAATATTTTACGAGACACACAATTTTGTGTGTCGAATCATCGGTACACGGCAATGGGCAATCTCATTTGCAATTCGCACCATTAGTCTGACGTGATCAGTCTTATCTATGGTGAAGCATCCGGCGTTGTTGCGTTAGGTCAGGGTTTTTAATCCAAACTGAACTTTTTTCAACGGAATTTTTGGATTTTCCGATTTTGTGTGCCTCCAACGTGTTTGATCTACGTGTAAAGACAATGTATTGATGTGGTATATGCTTTGTACCATCTCAAATAGTTTAGGCAGTATCTTTAGCGTAGCTTCTCGGGAATATATCGATTTAACTTTATCATTTTTAGGTTTAAGTTCAGCAATTCCATCGCAATACAAAGAGAATTGGGCTACAGATTTTTAATTTTACTTCTAAACTTAACAACAATACAGTATTAGAGTGTTATTTAAATATATTTACAAAACCAACACGTTTCTTAGTCGAGTCTTAAAACGGTGAAGTGCTGGGCTCCAGACCGCAAGCATTATAAGTTTATTAATTTAACAGTTTTTTCCTCTCTGGGCTTAGAACATTGGCTCTCAATGTCCGTCGCACTAACATTGTAATGTGCGTGACATAAAAGTGTGAGTAGCACCGTGTTACCCTGGGGCAAGTACATGCAGGCTTGCTCTTCCTTCTTTCTTGATGAGAGGTGGCTGGCAAGCTAATTGTTTGGCTTGTTTTAGCTTGTTTCAGTTCGAAAAAATTGCTATAAAACTGAACTTTATGATATGCTTTTCTGCCACTGAAGTTTAAAAATAAGATTTTATTTGAATATACATCGATATATATTTTGTTTATGTATCTCTTACTTTTTGCCCGAAAATGTAATTCTACAGTTGGGAACTACTAAATATTCTTGATGTTGTAAAGATAACATAAATACATTTAAATCGATATGTTTCCGAGAAGCTACGCTAAAGATCTTATATAAACTATTTGAGTTGTTTCAAACCATACACCACACCAATAAATCGACTTTGCACAGTTCTCAAACACGCTAAAGGCTCAGAAAATCAAAAAATACCGATAAAAAAGGTTCAATGTTTGAATTAAAAACCTGACCTACCGCAACACATCAAATGTCATTACGACATCACTAATGGCGCGAATATTCGGTCGTTTGAACATGATTTTCAAAAGTTTGTAATACATGTTTCTGCAAATTTATAGACTCCACATTTTCTTGCACTTAAACTGGTTTAGTGTGTATAATTGTGTGTGTACTTTAATTGGAAATTAAAAAGAACGCGAAATTCGAACATGCATATAGTACATGAGCACCATTACTTAGTATTTGCAGTATCTGCAGCTTCTCCCTTGTTAATTTGTTGATTTATTGTTATCACCGTTATAAAATGAACTGCACCGAACATAATAATATCACACTCAATAATTGATATATCTAAATTACTGTCAGTTTAATAACGCAATGTGTATTTGTAAAGTTTATCAGATCTACAGATGCACCCGCACTAAGAGAAAAATGTCGAGTGCATATGTGCGTCCCAAGC